CATATTCACCCCTGGACACTGATGAGTATGTTGGGATACAGGAGCCTGACACATGAAGCTTTGACATTCACTTCAGGAGGTGAGAATGAATTCTTTAAGGCACCCCAGATATACGTGTAAGCAATATCTATGGTCCACATCCAAAAATCAGGGAAACAAATGTTGAAAATTTCTAGTTTTTACAACTTGGGAGATCCGTGACATCTCATCTCTTTATTCTAAAGCAAGACCACTATAAAAATAAATTCTCAGGTTGTAAGTTTCATCCTCTAGACTTTATTTTCCAAGCACCACTTCAGATCACCTTAGAATACTAATGATTCCTTCCACAGACCAGCTGCTATTCTACTCTGCTTTGGCAGTAATTTTAATTTGTCTCCATCACCCCTGTGCCCCAACATGCTCCTTCCCCAGGGGTGCCAGGAATCTCATTCTAGCCCAGTTGTCACTGGCCTAGGTTTTTGGCCAGCAGCAACGGAAGCAGAGGTGGCATCTGCTCGCAATCTGACAGCGAGTTTCTCTTGAACCATGGGTATTAAGTCTCTACAGACAAAAAGAAGAGTTAGCTAAAGCAAAAGGCAGAAAGGGGACTGGAGTTACTGGCTCTCACTGAAAGCAAGAATGCCAGGTGGGTGGAAACATGAAACCTGTGATTATCTGACTCTGATAAGAAGGTTGGGACTTGTGATAGAGCCTGGCAGGTCTTTTGCTGGTGGACACACCTGACAGAAGACAAAAGAAGGCAAACAAAGAGTGTTTCTGGTTTCTGAAGGACCATTATTCCTGTTACAAGTTTTTTTCTTTTTCTTAGTTCATTTTATTAGTAAGTAGTGATCACATTTTAATATCTCAATGAAAATATTATTTTGACAATGTAGTTTACAACTACAAGACTACTCAAAATCTGGTTCTCTTAAGGAAAATAGAAATAGTCTTGGTCATTCTTTGTATTGCTAGATTAAAATAAAGCTTTAAGAGACATTGTACTATGTCACCCTTTTTGATGCAGTTGAATGAATTTGGGTTTTTAAGTCAGGGTACCTGGGTTTAAATGGTTGTATGATCTTTGACAAGTAGTTTAACATATCTCAACCTCAGTTTCCCCATTCAAAAATGGGACAATAGTCACCACTACATCATGGAAAAATTAAGATTAAATTAGACGAAATTGTAATGCACTCAGCATGATGCCTGGTACCTTGTAGAAGCTCAATAAATCCCTACTTATCTCTCTGTCATTTGAAGTCTAAAGGTACCTACTGGTGCAGTGAACAGAATGTGTTCCCCAAATTTCCTACAGAGCTTAGGATATGAGCAAGATTCTTACAAAATTAGAAACTTGGAAACAGAGAGAGGAAGAGTAGAGGAAGCTGCAGTATCATGGAAGAGCCGTGGACTGGAGTCAGAATCCTGGACTAAATCCTGGCTTTGCTCCTTACCAGCTATAGGATTGTAGGCACATTGCTTAATATCTTAAAACTTCAGTTTTCTTATCTATATCAAGGAGATAACATCTTCTTTGCAGACATCTATTTAAGACACCCTTCCTATGCACAGAAGTTAGGCTTGGGTTTCCCACCAAAAGAATAAGACACATTCATTGCTTTGAAAGAGCCTACAGCCTGATAGAGTAATTAATCACCTAGCCACATAACAGAAGCACGCTCACTGAATATGTGATTATCTTTTGAATTCCTTCTCATAAACAGTAGAAGATAACAATGATAGACACAGATTTATGCCAGATAACTTTAATTCAGGCTCTCCTACATACTAGCTGTCTGAATCCAGGCAAGTTATTTAATCTAATTTTTGAAATGAGGAAAATAATGGAATTGGTGTGAAGATTAAACAAGATAACCAATGGGAGGAAGACAGTAACCATTCAACAAAAACTTAGCTCCTTTTGGCTTACTGTAGGTACCCATTGTATCTGGAACTCAAGGTAACAGATTTGAGGGGCTCTTGTGAATCCTATCTGTCTCTTAGCACCAATAATCCATGTAGCAACATCTCCTAGTCTCCACTCTGACAAATAGAATTAACTGTCTTGATAGTGTTAGGTATGTCTACAATTTCAAAATTCCAGACTTAGACATTTGAGCTTTATTTCTTGAAAGAACATAATTATGGGAGCTACTTCTATTTTTTTTATGTAAGTGCTATCTTGCATACTTTATCTTGCCACTTTTTATTTTTAAGAGTCTTCCATTTTTTACAAGTTATTGAGAAAAGCACAAACATTACATGCTGCAAGGAAACTATGATATGACAAGGAGCTTTAGGGAGAAACACCACATACAAAGAATCAATTAGGAAAGGGAAATGTTCAGGATCACATTTTCAAGGTCCTTGAAAAAAAACCTACTCCAAAATAAAAGGTACTCTTTTCCCAAATGATAGTTTCAGTCCCCAAATCCTACCTACTCTAACCTAAGCCCCAGCTGTGTTCATTTCCCTTCAAAGTGGAGATAAATAAGGATGAAATACTGCACATATGTAGCATCTTGTTTCCAAGGAGTCCAGTAGCCTTTAAACATATTATTCCATTAATCTTCCCAGCAGTCTGAGAGAGGGAAGTGACATGTCTAATGTTTCTACTCTTGCAAATAAGGAAACTTAGGAATGACAAAGAGCACTGAATGGCCAAGAACACAGTAAAGGGAGTAACAAAGCAAGGAAAAAGAAACTGGGCCTAGGAAATTGTGGTTCTTTCAAGGGCATAAGAATATCCATAAATTATAAATAATAAGATAAAACCCAACTGCTGATTGCTTAGAGTGCACTTAAATCAAATTAGGGAACATGTGGGCTTGCAAATATGCGCAATAGACATGCTACTCCAGGTGGTTGAGGTGATGGTAACAGATGCCCTATTGGGCTTCCTTTTTTGGCCCCCACAATTGTATGCCACCTCTGATACTGTGATAAATTTTCTGCCACCTGATAACTGGCTACAGATTTCTGACTAATTTCAGGGTTTTGTTTTTTAATTATTTTCTTCTCTTATACTGCTAGTCAAACCACATACCTGTTTTCTTTTCTTTCCAAAGTATACCTATATAAGAGCTGATTAAATTCCTGTCATTTTCCTTTAAGTTAAAAAAAAAAGTAAAGTGGTCTTAACAACCGAGTTTTCTCAATACAGGCATAAGTGAAACTTAATTAAATACAATATATAATCTTTTGAAGCTACTTTTTATATAAAATGAGAGTGGCTTTTTTTTTTAGTCCACTGGAGTCATATTTTATGTGTGAGGATAATGTTATAGCTTGGATATTAAGAAAGTGAGAGAATTTTTATAAATTACTATCCAGTTAAGAGTGTCAAGGTATCTCTTAAAATAGTGTAAAAGAGTATTAGTTGAGAAGATTAAATTAGAATGGATTTGTAATGCACTTAACAATATTACTTTTATTTCAAAGTCAATTCCCTGAGAGAAGAGTGGGGGTGACTTAGGGGTGGGCACAATAGGCAGCTGCTTACGTACAGTGGATTCAAAGGTCCTTTGAAGGAACCTTTGCCCCCAAACTGCCCCCTGTGCCTGTTCACTCACCAATGACCAAGAGTCCTAGACCAAGAAAGTTCTTACTTTTCAAGTTAGTGAAGAGACAGAAAATATCAACCATCTTATAAGACAGCATTAAGTTCATCCTGAGAGTGAGTGTTAGGAGAAAGGAGAGGGGAAAGGCACATCACTAAATAGCTAAGTGAAATGGATGTCTAAAGTGATTTTGGAGGCATTATAGTGTAGTTAAAAGGACATAGAATAAAGGATAGGTCAGAACTAAGTTGAATCCTACATCAGCCATTTTCTAGCTGAGTGACCTTTCAAGGTCATATAATGGTTAGTGATAATGAATTTAAGTTCCTGGTTAGAACCATGATAAATAGTATTTTAAAATTATTATACTCTACTATATGTTATTTCCCCTTCCCAAGACACATGTATTATCTCTGTCATCCAAAATTTTTCCAATTAAATTTTAAGGATTCAGAGAACATAATAAATTAATTGCAATTTTATTTTCAAACTAAATATATGAATTTGATATCTACTGCAGGTAAAGTGTGGCCCAGTATCTTCTATTTGAAAGGCCTGAGGTTTAAGTAAGGTAGGAACAGTTGTTTTCATTATAGTACAAAATGTCTAAGTATTTGTCATTACTTATATCTAATATATGTACATGTTTTACTCCTACCTAAAATATGCCGAATATTAATATAATAATCATAATATCCTTTATGCTTTCATCTTGTCCTTCTTAATCTTGTTTTTCAGATACATTTTGAATGGGTCATCCTGCAAATAACTTGACCAGGCAACACAATGTGGCAAAATGTAGACCATCATACCTCTATAACCTTGCCTGCCTGTGATAGCTTTTGATATGTCTACTTGTCTGAGCTGAATGACAGTCACAAGAATTCCCTCTCTAGAATGTTTCTGGTTTGATTGGGCTGAAACAATATTCTCTCAGAAGAGTTGGAGGAAAGAAGGGATAGTGGGCATTTTGCAGCATGACTGGTTATTCAATCAAGCCCTAATCTGGGTGTTGCTGTGAGGAAATTTTGTGGATCTGATTAAAGTCACTAATCAGTTGACTTTAATTAGTTAAAGGAGGAATTACCCTTTATAAGTGGGTCAGACTTACTCACTTGAGAAATCTCTTAAAAAGAGCTTAAGCTTTTCCTGAGTTGAGATTCCTGCCTATGGACAACAAACCACAGCTAATGCCCATGGGGTTACAGCCTGCTCATGGTCTTTCCTTCCTGACCACCTGCATTACCCACTTTGGATTTGCTTTGCTTAATCAGGCCCCATAATTGTAGAAGTCAATTCCCTGTAATATATTTATTTATTTATTTATTTATTTATTTATTTATTTATTTATTTATTAATTATTTTTTATTTTTTTTCTCAGAAAACAGAACGTTTACATTTTATTTTTCTTCGATAAGGTCACCCAAGGAAATGGCACAATCCTGCATGTTCTTTTTACATCTGTCTCTGCTTATGCCTTGGGTGCATTTTGCAGTAGATGTACCATCGCCCACTCCTCTTCACCCGGTAACAGTCCGGGCAACGCTTCTTGAGGACGGCCTTGGTCTTGAACCCCAGAGTCGGCTGCAGGAAGGGCAGGGGCTGGCAGGAGAGAGGAGAGGCCACTGCTGCGCTGGGCTCCGCACCTGCAGGGCCTGCAACACGCAGGGGACCCAGCAGGAGCGTGGAGAGCGCGCGGGGTGTCGTTGTGTAATTTCTCATTGTGTAACGGCTCAGACGTAGGAGAGGGTTCACAGCAGAAACCACCATTTTCCTTATAAAAAGAGTTGCCATATTGTGGCTGAATCTGGGAAGAAGTGGCCCAGACCCGGCCAGCAGCATGCCTTGCCCCGCGCCTGCGTCCCCGCCCGCGCTTGTGCAGTGGAGCGGAGACGCCACCGCCATGAGTCTGCGCCAGAAAAAACAACAACCCTGTAATATATTTAGATAGATTGATTGATGGTATATTAAAGTAAATACAAATAAATAGAACTGAAGAGATGAGATAGAAATAGAGCTAGAGGGAGAGGGTGAGATAAAGTGAGAGTGATTGATCATATTAGTTCTCTTTTTTTCAGTTGAACTCTGGTATCTTTCCATATATGCTGAGATCCCTGTGGGATCACCTGCTATACCAAATCTTGAACACATTGACTACCCAATGGCTGTTGATCTCCATCAATAAACTAGAGCTTTCGCTCATTTACACATTTAAAATTTAGTCAACTACTTAAGAAAGGACTTAATGAAGATTAATTTTACTTAATATTTTTGTTACTGTTCCCAGTCATATTTTCATGGGCTGAACTTAAAATGTCTTTTAAGCCACTTTGCATTACAGAATGATTACTTTAAACTTACTAGCTGTCTGACCTTGGGCAAATAATTTAACTTCTCTGTGCCAATTTAATCAAAATGGAAATAACATTTATCTCCTTAGATACTTGTAAGAATTGAATTAATTCATATATGTAAAGTATTTAGAAGAGTGCCATGAATAGAGTAAAGCATATATGTTAACTTTTATTATTATTCAATCAATTTATTTTAATAAACTGCACTACTTTTTTAAAAAAGTTTTATGGAGGAGGATGACAATAATATTTACAAGTCTTTACAATTTAAATAACCTGAAGAGATTGGCTTTAAAAAATAGAAGAGCAAGATGTCTTTAAATATTCAAGGATGGTTACAGGAACAGATTGGTTTTGTTTGGCTCCAGAGTTGCTCAACACGGCCTGAGGAAAGAAGAGAAGTGCTGGTGTGAGGTGCACCCAGTGCAATCCTGGTTCCACCCCTCTTTTACTATTTCTGAGCTCCAACCCCTCTGTTGTAAACAGGCTTTGCAGCACCTACTTTGCGCTGTGGGCATAAAGACTGGGGATTGCCATTGTAATAGTCTCTTTATTGCAGCATTCTAAGGAGAACTACGTGATAAGAATTAAGATATATTATGTCGCTTACAATTTTTAGATTCTGCAAGTTTCATTAAGTTTCTTTCCCCAAGGATTAAATCCAATAGGCATGTATTGAAAACCTATGTTTTTCAAGCTCTGCTAAGTTTTGTAAATACATGAAAAGGTCCCTAAAACATTAAAAAAAAATGTTTGGTTGCCTTTTCATAAATCTCTACACTAGATTTTCTTATATTTGATTTCTCCTCCTTTCTAAGAAACTTTTTAAAATTCTTTTTTTTTTCCTGTCCTGAACATGCAGGTATTCTTCAATGTTCTGCCCTGGAAATTCTTTCTCTGCTTGTATTTTATAATCATGTGTGCCTTTTCCTTTTCAGCTTCATATCTGCATTATTGACTCCCAAATAGATATCTACAATTTGAACATGAACCTGCTGGTTCCTGAAACTCCAAAAGTCCAACACAGAACTCATGGTCTCTTCTTCTGCTCCTCAAACCAGACCCTTCTCTTGATATGTGTATGTTATTGCTCCAGCACGAAATGTGGAGCCAATGTTGACTCCTCCTCTCCCTTACATATCCAATTAACTTTGAGGTCTTATGTTTGAACTTTTTTGGTATTTTTTTTTTAACTTGAAGAATGTCATGATCCATTCTGTTCTTTTAATTTTCCCTTCCATTACTCTTGCCCAAGTGCATACTCTTTACTTCTTTTTCAAATATTTTAATAGCCTCCTAATTAATCTGCTCTTTGAGTTTTTCCCTCTTCCCATCCTTCCAATGTCTCATTGCCAACTTAACATTTATAAATTTCAATTAACAATTTAACCAAAACCCTTTTTTAGTTTCACAGCACTGACTGAAGTAAAAAAGAATGTGTTAGTGTACAACTTCCCAAAGATATCTCCAGTATACCATCTTAGTATCATCTGGGATGAAGAAGAAAGTAACTCTTGCTGAATATTGACTGTTGACATACATGAATGAGCAGTTATAGCTCTACTAGTGGCCCAGTGCACAGATTTTTGCACATTGAAAGGAAACTAATTAAATTGCCAGTGCGCATCATGTACCGGCCGGTCAGTTGCGTGTGATTGGCCCCAGCAAGAGCTTTATATGTATCACACATGCACGAGTCGTTTATTTTTAAATTGCCAGTATGTGTCATATGTACCAGCAGGTCAGTCGGATGGATGGATCTTCAGACGTTCGGTCACTTAGCCATATATATATATATATATATATAGATAAGTGTATACAGGTGTCATGATGTGTGTGTGTGTGTGTGTGTGTGTGTGTGTGTGTGTGTGTGTGTAAATAGGGAAGGGTGAATTGAAAGAATCAGTGAACCATACATAGGTCAGATAGTTCCAGTAAAACTATTATAATGGCAGAAACAGGAAAGGAGTGAATAGAATTACCATGAGCTAGTGGTAGTTACTATTATAGTACAGGGCATGGACCACAGAGACTAGATGCCGGAGACCAATTTCAGCATGACAGCAGGGCTGCATCTGGGAACGGCTAAAGGCATTTCCCCAAACCTGAATAAGATACATTAAATTGATTCTTGGCTGCCAGCCAGTTAAAGGGCATCTTAATCTACATGTTATTGCCTCCTACTGGCCAAACACCTGAACAGCCGTAGGCTAATTCCCCCATTCTGACAATGGACTCTTGCCGGGAGCCAGTCCATCCTTGCTGTTTCAAGGGACCCGGCATATATGGCATACTGTTCTTAATATGTTTCCTCACCTTCTTGGCACTATGTGTTTTAACCAAGGTCTCCTCTCTGAGAAAGGTTGTTTCCCCAGGTAGGGATTTTCCACTGAAGTTAGGGAGGGAATAAAACCCCTCAACTAAGTGCCAGGCGGGTAATTAATCACTTTAACTACGAACAATCGTGCTTAAGCTACATAATCTTTACTCCCTGGAATGAAGATAAGAAACGCCCTAACCTTTGTAATAGAGATTGATAGGATTGAATCAACTGGTATAAATACAGATGTAACAAGACAGCAAGAGTCAGAACTTAGAACACAGAACTTAGAACACAGACAGAACTTAGAACACAGAACTTAGAACACAGAACTTAGAACACAGAACTTCGCTGGAGAGAACATGGCAAAAGATCCTGGACTGAACCTGACTACAGAAATTGGCAAGAGAACCTGACTAGAACCTGGTGACTGAACCTGGCTGGAGAACCTAGCGAGGGAACATGGCTACAGAACCTGGCTGGAGAACCTAGCAAGAGAACGTGGACACAGAACCTGGCTGGAGATCCTAAGCAGAACCTCTCTGGAGATCCTGAACAGAACTTGGCTGGAGATCCTAAGCAGAACTTCGCTGGAGATCCAGACCAGAACTTGGCTGGAGATCCTGGCTAGGCTGCTGATCAACTGAACACTGTCTCCTTGTCCTTCCTTCTTCGCCGACTCCGTCCACACCTTTGGGGACCCCTGGACCTGCTGGGGCAGGACCCCGGCATCTGGCGCCCGAACAGGGACCCCTAGGTAAGCGCCCCACACTCGGGACGGATCGGACTCCACCATAGGAATAGGGTGGATAGTATTTGCCGACTCCGTCCACACCTTTGGGAACCCCTGGAACAGGATTCCCCTAGGTAAGCCCCCCCCCCCCATTGAGAACCCCCACATTCGGGATGGATAGGACTCCACCAGGGTGCTGCAACCCCCCCTATAGAGGATAAGTAGGGTAAGAAGGTGGATAGTACAGAACTTAGATTGAGAAGATGTGCCATACTGAGTCCAAAGAAAGAAGACTCTGTATTGATCTTTTAACACATATGCTTGCTAGCAGAGGAATTAAGGTTACTCCCAGTCAGACAGAACGTTTTATACAAGAAGTATGTCCATGCTTTTCTGAGGAAGGAAAGGTAAATGTAAAGGCATGGGAGAAGGTAGGCCCAAGGAGCCTTATCCTTAACCCCACTGCAGCCTTTCCACCCCGGGAAAGTGCAGGATTGGCAAGCTCTCCCTGGGGTGATAGATGAGGACTCAGGTAATAGTGGAAAGCACCAATCCTATTCTTAAAATGGATACAAGAGAGCATTTGGGGTTTTTCTTTTTAATGCCTGCATTTAAAAAATAAAAAAGGGGGAATTTGCCGGGAGCCAGTCCATCCTTGCTGTTTCAAGGGACCCGGCATATATGGCATACTGTTCTTAATATGTTTCCTCACCTTCTTGGCACTATGTGTTTTAACCAAGGTCTCCTCTCTGAGAAAGGTTGTTTCCCCAGGTAGGGATTTTCCACTGAAGTTAGGGAGGGAATAAAACCCCTCAACTAAGTGCCAGGCGGGTAATTAATCACTTTAACTACGAACAATCGTGCTTAAGCTACATAATCTTTACTCCCTGGAATGAAGATAAGAAACGCCCTAACCTTTGTAATAGAGATTGATAGGATTGAATCAACTGGTATAAATACAGATGTAACAAGACAGCAAGAGTCAGAACTTAGAACACAGAACTTAGAACACAGACAGAACTTAGAACACAGAACTTAGAACACAGAACTTAGAACACAGCACTTCGCTGGAGAGAACATGGCAAAAGATCCTGGACTGAACCTGACTACAGAAATTGGCAAGAGAACCTGACTAGAACCTGGTGACTGAACCTGGCTGGAGAACCTAGCGAGGGAACATGGCTACAGAACCTGGCTGGAGAACCTAGCAAGAGAACGTGGACACAGAACCTGGCTGGAGATCCTAAGCAGAACCTCTCTGGAGATCCTGAACAGAACTTGGCTGGAGATCCTAAGCAGAACTTCGCTGGAGATCCAGACCAGAACTTGGCTGGAGATCCTGGCTAGGCTGCTGATCAACTGAACACTGTCTCCTTGTCCTTCCTTCTTCGCCGACTCCGTCCACACCTTTGGGGACCCCTGGACCTGCTGGGGTCCCCAAAGGTGTGGACGGAGTCGGCAAATACTATCCACCCTATTCCTATGGTGGAGTCCGATCCGTCCCGAGTGTG